GTATACATGTAATATTGTACAGATTTCTGCGAAACTCTGTTCAAAAAAGTTTTTTTACATATACGTGACTCTACTTGATTATAATAATGAGAAAATTTGACCAGTAAAAGAAACTGATCGATTAATTTTCTTTAGTAGGCGACTGTATAAGGTTCCATCTCAATTAGGCAATTCTTTAGAGCTCTTGCGACACTGACAAAAGGAATAGTTCCGATTAAGTGCTTGATTGAATTCAGAGCTATTATCCAAGACTAATTAGGGATGCTATAGAATATCATAAACAGAGAATTTCAACCGGAGGAAAGAAATCATCAACAACAGGTCTGGCTACCTGCACTAACCTGCACACGTATCAAGCCAAATGATGCACAAAGAAGCCTTGCCCCCCAAAAATGGTATGAAATCGAATACCCAAACCTTGAACAATGTAGTATATGATATGAAAACAATAAAAGCACTGCATCCATTGCCTCATCTTTTATAATATATACTGTAGTTGTAGATGAAATGTCAGACATAAAAACCTGCAGACTAGGGCCACAAACCCAGAACATAGCTTTGACACAGATAAAGTATTGTCTCACTGGTATTTTGAAGACATTTTTGAGGAATCGGAAATCATCAAACCTATCATAAATATGTTACTTTCATGACGGTTGAACTTTCAATGTCCATGCGTACTAACACATCAGTCGGGGGTGTTTCCACCCTGTAAAGTGACGTTTTTATTCTAGATTAAAAGCTGTTGCCTATCCAGTTACAGGGGCTTTTCTGGGTGGCATGGTTGGTGGCCCCATCGGCATGGTCGCCGGAGTAAAGGTGGGGGGAATAGTAGCAATAGGGTGCGCAATCGTTGGTTACACTGGTGGTAGGTGGTTCAAGAAGAAACACAGTGACATCGTCAATACCGTGAAAAAGGAAGAAGATGAAATCAATGACGAGACTGTGCCTGACACATCACTCAAAAAGGATATTTGACAGCAATGTCATTTATGCTAGTTTTTTTAGGTATTAGTTAGGTTTTATGATGAGGTTATATGGAATTATCAATTTTTACGATTGATATCATATTTGGGAATCTTTGTGGAGAACAAAAGAAAGCCTTATGGAATAATGTTATCTTGTGGAAGGCAAGTGTTGCCTGCTATTTTATGTTTTAAATATATAAGAGCTAAACTTGACAAAAAATTATGTGAGTGATATATTTCTTTCAAACTGAATATTTCAGTTGAAATCGAACGTTACTTCAAAACTTGGTGAGCAAAAATAAAGTTATTTAGGAATGTTGATGACAACACATAAGTTCGCTTGGAGATTGTAATTAACTCCAGGTTTGTTCAACACGTCAATATTATGAATGAAACTAATAAATGTTCCTTGATTTCAACATTCTTTTATTTTTCCATTTATTCGCTTTAGTTTAGAAAAATATCATTCATTTTCTTTTGAAAAATTGAAGAATATTTATAATCTATTGTGGAGACTAGTTAGATTTTTTGGTATTATGTTTCACAAGATTGTAAAGGATGGA